AATCTCTTTTCCAAATTATCATATCCTTACATCCAAATTTCGAAGTCAAGGTATTTTCAAAATATCTATCTTGGATTAGTTCAGCAGCATTTATAAACAAATATCTTTTAGCAGCAGCTGTTGCTCCTTCCTCAGCATTCAAACAATTCAAAGAGAGCATAATAGCATACAGTATCAAGATTCTCTGTGTATTTTCCATCTTTATGCAGCTTTATTTTTAACCTCTATTTTTTTTTATTTTTACTTTTACTTTTTGACATAGGTTCTCTGTATATCTTTGTCCTGGAATAACTCTGTAGACCAGGCTGTCCTTGAACTCACAGAGATCTGTCTGTCTCTGCTCCCCAGTGCTGGGATTAAAGGCATGTGCTACCACACCTTGAACTCAGAGATCCTTCTGTCTCTGCCTCCCAGGCATTGGGATTAAAGGTGTATACTACCACACCTTGAGGTCACAGAGGTCAATCTACCTCTGCTTCCCAAGTGTTGGGATTAAAGGTGTGTACCACCACATCCAACTACTTTCTTTCTTCCTCTTTTACCCTAAGAACTTTAACCTTTAGCCTGCATATATTTTTAACACATAGTAAACCATTTAGAGGTTTTCTTTGTCTTTGAACCTCTCTTTACTGTATCTCTCTCTCTTTTTTATGACCACATGAGTTTAAAACCGTGGCTTTGACGGTTAGACCCAGTCCATTTTTTAGCTTTCCAGACTCATATTAGAGGTACCATTGGAGCCTTTTACTGCCACAACTCTATGGCGTTTCAAGGTCCCTGCCAGCAAACAAGCTGGAGCATTCTGCTCACAGACCACACTCAGTCGGACTGCCTGCCTGAAAGAGTCAGAGTTTGCCCTGGCAGGACGGCCCAGAAAGACGGCATTTTAAAACAGCGCAGCGTTTTTCCTGCTACGACTGAAAACCGAAAAGCATGCGTTCAGCTTTTCATCAATACCATTTAAGTGTTTCGCAGCAGGACCTCTTAATGAGCTACAAAGTTTTGCAGCTAAAGCTGAGTCAGGAAGCCTCTCTTAAATGAGAGCATTGCTTGCCTCTAGCAAGCAGAACAGACCCGAGAAATTGCTGCCACCAAGAAAACATGCTTTACTCTATTCTTTCCCAAACTTTCTTAAGCTTTCTGTGGATTCAGTTATCCACGTTGGCGCCATCTGTAGTGAGGGGCTGCAGGGCAGGCCTGCTTTTCATCCTGCCCAGCTCCCGCACGGCTAGCTTAGTCCCAGAAATAATAACACACAAGTTATATTCATTTAAACACTGCCTGGCCCATTATCTCTAGAGAGTTAGTTACTGACTAACTCTCATATCTTGATATTAACCCATTTCTAATAATCTGTAGCACCACGAGGTGGTGGCTTACCGGAAAAGATTTAGCATGTCTGACCTGGTGGCTGGCTCCATGGCGTCTGGCTCATAGCCCTCTTCCCAGCATTCTATTCTGTTTACTCCGCCTACCTAATTTTCTGTCCTATCAAGGGGCCAAGGCAGTCTCTTTATTGACCAATGAAAATAACACAATAGACAGATAACCCTCCTCCATCAAAGGTGTGCTCAGAGTGTAGCGGGGGTGTGACACAACCATGCTAATCTCTCTTCTGTCACTTTCATTGTAGATTAGTTTTCTTTGCGTAGTAGCTGGTAGTATCTTTATGAGTTTAGTTATGAGACATTAAGACAAAGACCAAAAGTTGTTGTTTAACAGATTTTTCATTCTCTAAGTTCAATATCATTAACCTTGACCATCTGAGATAGAAAACCATGAGTTTTCCACAAACTGTGCATATGAGCCAATTATGGCTTTACCATATGTGGCATTGTGTTCATTCAAGGGCCTCCTTGCAATTAAATTCTCTTCACCCATTACAGAGAAGGTTGTTTTATTTTATTTGCACTTGGAATCTCCTTCTCCTTAAAGTATATTGGAAGCATTTTTACTTGGTGTAACCATTGGTCCTGTGGAAAACTCACAGGATAAGATTTCCCACTTGAGAATCTCCAAGACCATGTTTACAAGAAAATCAAGGAGATGTCTCCTCAAAGCAGCGTCTATTCGAGATGAGCTGTTCTTTCAATGGGCTTTCTTTTCTGTCTTTTTTTTCCCTTGTGGTTCTCTGCAGGTCCCTGACAAGTGTTGGAATAATTAAGCTTCATTGTCTCGAATACCCACTTGTCTTAGTCATTTTAAGCTGCTATAAAAATGTCATAAAGGAGACAGCTTATCAACAACAGGAGTTTGCTTTTCGTAACTCTGAAGACTGAGAAGCCCAATTTCATGGTGCTAGTAGATTTGGTGTCTGGTAAGGACTCCCTCTTGGCTTTGTCGAGGCAGCTTCTCTCTATGTCCATTCATGGCGGAACAGTTAAGGCTGCTCTCCAGAGTCTCCTTTATGAAGACATGAAACCCATCTCTGAGATCTCTGCCTGAAGACATATCGTCATTCAAAGGACAACACATCCTTCTACTCTCATCTTGGAGGTTAGGATTTACTAACAGAGAGAGACAGTACCCACTCCACATCGCAACTGTAGCCTACAACCAGAGAACAGGTCATTTTCCCCTGAAGAACAGTCTTTGTGTTATAGGGACATCCAAGAGCAGGGGCTAGTCAGAGTTTGAAATAGGCACAAATGCTGTGTTAATTATTCTAGCGGGAGTTCATTCTCTTTTCTCTAGCCATCTATTCTCATTGCTTCATCTTCCCTGCTTCTCTGGCTCTTTTAGTCTTCTGGAGCCCATCTCTGGCTTCATGCTTAAGCCCAGAGGAGACAGACACAGTAAGGGTATGCAGCATTGCACCATTGGCAGGAAGGCTTGCTGCTGCTGGAAAAACATCTCCTCCACTCTGGATATGCTAGGCTCAATGTCACCAGTTCAAGCATGAGAAGCACACATTACTCTGGCAAAGCTGAGGAGCTGGCAGCTCTCACTGTCCAACTAGGGTCTTAGATACAAGTAGAATATTTTCCAGCCTGTATTTTTTCAACAGTTGGCACTCAAGAAATGTTTGACTGTTTCTCAACTATTTACTTCTGAACTAAGAAATTGCTATATAATTTTGCTTAAAGGCCCAATTTCTTGGTCTCTTGAAACTGTACTTTAAAGCTCAGGTTGTTGGGGGTGTGGAGAAAATGTCCTTTGAAGAAAGAGATGTTTGTGTTAGCCTAGACTATTTCAAAATGGACAGGGGCCCTCAGATGGAAGGTGGGAGCACAGTGTAACATAAAGGCCGGGCTTGTTGGGGTTTCTGTCCTGCCCAGATCCCACGCAAGTCCCAAAGAAAATCACACCGAGGTCTCCATAAGTTATAAACTGATTGACCCATTAGTTCAGGCTTCTTATTAGCTCTTGTAGCTTATATTAACCCATTATTCTTATGTATGTTAGCCACATGGCTCAGTACCTTTTCCAGTGGAGCAAGTCACATCCTGCTTCTTTGGTGGTCTGGGCAAAACTGGGAGGAATGGGCTTCGTCCTTCCCAGAATACTCTTGTTCTCTCTGATCCTCCTCTACATCCTGTCTGGTTTTCCTGCCTATACTTCCGGCCTGGCTATCAGCCAATCAGCATTTACTTAAAGTATAATTGACAGAATACAGACAATTCTCCCACAGCACAGACTAAGAAAAGTGACTCCATTAACAAGGAAAAAATTAGGAGAATGGACTGAGAGGGTATCCATTTTGTGGTTTCAGACTCTTATAGTTAGAAGGTGGAGCTAAACTACAGGCTTTGACAAGACAAAAGAGCAGGTGAAATGCAGCTTAAATTGGAGGAGTTTAAAATGGCTTCTCCCTCAAAAGGAAAGGGATGAAAACGATATGCTCAGAATTGGTTCTGTAAGTGTGTGTGCATGTTTGTACATGTGTGCGTCTGTGTGGTACTACAGATCAGTCCAAGACCTGTGGCATTAGATGGGTTATAAAACAAGCCCTCTTCTGTAGGTTGCTTTAAAATCAAGCACGGCTATGTGAAGAGCCTAGCTACCAGTATTTTATTGTATGGTTGAGAGGCACTGCTTGAGCCTTGCTCTAAGTTGCATATCTTGTTATCTGAGCAACAGTCAGAAAATAGGCTAAGTTAATAGAGAGTGCTAGTAAGCCTGGCCTGGTGAGACAAACCTGTCAGTTCAGTTATTCAGAAGCCCAAAGCAGCAAGATTCCAAGCTCAAAGCCTGCTGAGACTGTAGAGTGAGTCTAGGTCCAGCCTGGGAAACTGAGTGAGACCCATATCAGACCTTTTTCAGTGGAAAGGAGAGGGGACTCAGTGGCAAAGCAGAGCATATGAGACCCTGGCTTCAAGCTCCTGTACTGTGGGGGTTGCTATACTAGCAGCTTTATGTCCTCTTCAGTTTCCATAGCCAAGTAGCAGGTGTATTGTGAGTGTACACGGGCCATGTAGACAAGTCTAAGGCAGATCCATGGTACTTTCGTTTATCAATCCTGATGCTGAATAATACAAGTCTGCAAACCTAGAAATTTAGCATCCTTGAGAAATGGCGAGTGTGTATGTGCATGTATGTGTGTGTGTGTGTGTGTGTGTGTGTGTGTCTGTCTGTCTGTCTGTCTGTCTGTCTGTGTCTGTGTACATGTGGGCAACTCACCTGGTTGGCATGAGGCGTTGGACTCTTCTTTTCGTTTCCTGAGTATTTGATGTTCTACTGTGTAAATATCAATGTATTTCCTTCTGAGGAGCTATCTTAAGCTAAGACCCTGAGGAGTTCAGACAAAAAGATTCATAGACTGATGCTGTTTCCTTCTCTAAATGCCAGGAAATACTCTTAGGGATAAATTTATTATAAATGTTTGAAATTGAAAAATGTTCACTCTTATTATTTTTTTTTACTGAAAAATTTGAAAATGAAAAATTTTATGAAAAACGTGATGACCATGAACTTTTGTCTGCACTCAATTCAGAATCCCCCTGGCTAGCTTTGTTTGATTTTTCTATTTCTCTCTTTTTTTTCCCTCGACTTTGCTCTAGGATGAGTCCTCCATGTTCTTCCAGTTTGGCCCATCCATTGAACAGCAAGCTTCTGTCATGCTCAACATCATGGAAGAATACGACTGGTACATCTTTTCCATCGTCACCACCTACTTCCCCGGCTACCAGGACTTTGTGAACAAGATCCGCAGCACCATTGAGAACAGCTTTGTGGGCTGGGAGCTGGAGGAAGTCCTCCTGTTAGACATGTCTCTGGATGACGGCGACTCGAAGATCCAGAACCAGCTGAAGAAGTTGCAAAGCCCCATCATCCTCCTGTACTGCACAAAGGAAGAAGCCACCTACATATTTGAAGTAGCTAACTCGGTTGGGCTGACCGGCTATGGTTACACATGGATTGTGCCTAGTCTGGTAGCTGGGGATACAGACACTGTGCCCGCCGAGTTCCCCACTGGGCTTATCTCGGTGTCCTATGATGAATGGGACTATGGCCTTCCTGCTAGGGTGAGAGATGGGATTGCCATCATCACCACCGCCGCTTCCGACATGCTGTCCGAGCACAGTTTCATCCCTGAGCCCAAGAGTAGTTGTTACAACACCCACGAGAAGAGGATCTACCAGTCTAACATGCTGAATAGGTAAGTGTGGAGCACGGCTGCGCGAACACAGGGTGGAGACCAGGAGAGAGCTTCACAGGCAGGAGGCTTGGAGGGGCAGGACCAGGGAAAGGCCGTTCAGGATGGCAGCCAAGCTGAAGGCTAGTCTTGAAATGGCACCTGGTCACGGTCAGGGGATCACTTCAGTTAAACCTTGCTGGTTCATATTCTTTTTGTTTGTGTGTGTGTGTTTGTTTTTTTGAGACAGGTTTTCTCTGTTTAACAGTACTAACTGTCCTGGAATGATCTCTGTAGACCAGGCTGGCCTTGAACTCACAATAGACATGGTCTCCTCACCTTTCCTCCTCCCCTCTCTGTCTTCATGAGCCAGCATGCCATGAGAGGCACCTTTTAGTCTAGTTTGTTGCAAGATTGTAAAAAAGGCCTCTGTTTTAGCCACTTTGTTTTGTTCTTACAATATACTTAGAAGAAACAACTTAGAAGGAGACATTTTTTTTCCCCACGGTTTCAGAGGCATAGGTCCATGATTGCTGACTTCACAGCTTCTGGCCCACAGTGCAGGAGGACACTGTGGTGGAAACACGCTGTGGGGTGAGGCAGTTTCCCTCATCCTAAAAAAAAAGACAAAAAAATACCAGAGAGAAACAGGTCTCAAGTATGTCCTTCAAAAATATGCTCTCCGTGACCTCCTCCCTCCAGGAAGTACTGATTGACTTCATGAAGTGGATCTTATGTGATTTTCTAATTTGGTAAAATGGCTATGTATATAGACTATAAAGATTTAAAGAAGACAGACTACAAAGAAGAAAATTAAAATGACCTTCACTCCAACTAACCATTGCTAAGTTAATCAGGAACCACCCTGGACATCTTGCTAGAATCTGTATCCGTATGGGTGTAAGTACATAATTTTATACAAACATAGCTATGGCTGCTGTTCAATACTTGACTTTTTTGGCCAGCGGTAGGTTCTGAACAATCCATTTGAAGATTGATTTTGAGCTATTTAAATAGCACATACAGCACGTTCTAGAAACATGGAATCCTCAGGCACCTGCTGTCCAACTCCTGAAATCAAATACAAGAATGCACCCTGAGAAATTTAAACCACCTTTGGTGAGGGTTTGTGTGAGCTACCCGCACTTAACCGCGGGAGGGAAGTAGATCTACAGTCTGTAAACAAAGTCTTTCATTTAGAGTTAAAATGAAAAGCAGTCTCAATGTGGCCATGACTGAGGCCTCTCAACCCTAATCCCCTCCTTTTGTGAGCGCCACTCCTCCACCATCTCTCTGTGGTACAGAGGGTCCTGGTTGACCCCTGTTTCTCTCAGGTTTCCCCATCCCAGGCTCCTTGGTACAGTCTCCTTTCATTCTAGGGGACTTTGTTTTACTTAGAGCTGCTCATTTCTGTACTATTGGCCTTGTACTCAATACTTGCATATTCCCTGAGTTTACATTTCTGGTCACACCCTCACCCCAGGTTCACATTTGACACAACTTTTTTCCTGAGGTACTAGGAATTGAACCTAGGGCCCCGTGGGAGAGTCAAGGGCTATGCCACTGAGCGATGGCCTCAGCTCACATACCTTGTTTCTTCTGAGTTGTGATCTGACTCAGTTGCCTAGACTGGCTTTGATTCTCTCTGTAACCCAAGCAGCCCTTGGAGCTGTTCTATCCCAGTCTCCTAAGTAGCTAGGATTGCAGGCCTGTACCACCAGGCCTGAATCTCAGTTAGTATTTTAAACTGGAGAAGTCATTTCTTCTGATACCATGGGCACTGGGAGCTCACATCTGGAAAGTTGAATTGTTCATCACTTTTGCCACTCCTTTTCCATCTTCTAACCAAATTTACACTACCTGAGGTGCATCCTATTAGGAGATTAATGAAATTAAATTCCCAAGATCTCCTTAATCCTGTGTGTCCCGATAGCTCAGGGCCAGGGTGCTGTTCTCCGTGGACTGAAGTCTCCCAGTGTCTCTGCAATGCCATTGCCGTGTCTTCATCTTTCCTGCCACACTCCAGCCCCATCTGGGCTGCTGCAGCCTCCCCTGCACCGGTTCTGCTTCTTTCGGTCTCTGTTGCAACCAGAGTGATCTACAATGGAATGTGATTTCATCACCTGCCTGCTTAAGGCTTGCCAATGGCTTTTTACTGCAGGTTCTAGTAATGAACCATCTCCTTAATGTGGTTTATAAAGCGTCACACAGCATGGGCCCTGCCTGTCTCTGCAAAACCAGCTCTCCCGTTGGCATGACCTTCCTAGAGTGCCGAACACACTTCAGTTGTTGGCTTTGAAAACCCTTAGCTGTCTCAGTCTTTCTCACTGCCTACTCCCCTCTCTGTTACTGGGTCTCATCATGTACCCCAGGCTGGAATTTGTAATGTAGACCAGGGATGATGACCTTAAATTCCTGACCACCCTGCATGGGACCACAGCTATAACCCCCCCCCCCACACACACACACACATGTAGTTTAAGTGTGTGTGGCGCTGAGGATCAAGTCCAGAGCTTCACACATGCTCAACAAACCCTCTGCTGACTGAATTGCATCTCTAGCCCTCCTCACTCCGTTTTTGTTTTTTTTTTTTTTTTTTTATCTCACTCTGTTTTGAACACTCCCTAGCAGGCCCCTCTGCACCAGTAAATACACACAGATGGTCTTCTGCTTGCCCAATTCTGGCCATTCTTAGGCCTCCATTCATCTTGACTTCCTCCTAAGCCATGGACTGCCGTTTTCATTATACGCCTTCACTAAATCTAATGCTTTCCTGATGAAGGTACTTTGGGCGTGGAGGGTCTGTGAGAGCAGGCAGCTCCTTTTTGTCCTTTCCTTTTCTCTGTCCTTATTCCAACACAGCGTGTGACATAGGGAGGGATGAGAGTGAGGTCCTCCAGACTCAATGCGCGTCCTCTGTGCAGAGGGGTGTCCTGCCTGGCTGCTCTTTCCAAGGTGGGAAACCTTCCTGTTGAGTTGGTTCTGCAGACCCATACATTCTTCTGTTATTTTTAATGTTCAAATCTGACTCATGTTAGTTTCCCAAGTATTTGCTGATTAAAAGCAAAGCTAAAGGCCACGGACTACTGAGACTAAAACATCTGCCAAATACAAATCAAGGGAACGTAATGTTAAGCCTGTCAAAACAGTGCAAGCCTGTCCACCTTTGTCTTCAACCTTCCCCCAGGGTAAACAACAACCTTCAGATATATTGCTTCTGGCTTAGTTCATCTTACACTCGAGTGTAAATGCCACCTCTGGGACTGGGCTCTATCCACACCCTGAGACCACCATTGGTTTAACCTTTGTTCACTATTTCTTGGGACTGAGAGGCCTCATGTTATCCATCAGGATGGTTACCACCCGCAGCTCTCATTTGAACTCTTCCTGTACAGGTAAGTCAAGATGATGAGCCAGTATCACTCTGGAGGATACTTTTAGCTCAGAGCAGGGTGCCAGTTCAAGGCCAACTCTGGCTATATAATGGGTTCCAGACTAGCTTAGACTACAGTCTTGTCTCAAAAATACCACCCCTTGTAAAAAGGAACATACTAATGAGCCTCGAATGTGCCTTCCCATTGTCTCAAGTGTAGCCAACCAGAAGCAACGAGGCTGGGACTACACATGCAGACTGGTCCCAAAGCTGCCTGCTCCAGGAAGAAGGAGAAAGAGCAGGAGGAACCCAGCAGAGGGGGGTCCACTGTTGCCTGATTTCTCTACTGTGTTGCTCAGGCAGTGACATCAGCCTGCCCTCCCACTTCTCTACTTGGTGGTTCTATTCTCCTGCCTCAGACCCTTCCCCTAAGTGTCTCCCTGCCAGCTAGAGAGCTGTTCCCAGATTCTCCTCACTCACATCACGGTGTCCTTCACTCCTCTCCACGTCTTCCCTTCCCCTTTCTTTTCAAGTACAGCTTTTGGTGGCTCTTGGCTCCAGTTCGCAGCCTCTGCTAGGGATATTTTAGTCGATTAGTTTGTGAGTTCAGAAAGGCGTGGGTTAACTAGCTGAGACTTAAAGAGTTATCCCCAGGTCTAAGGTACTGCCACCAGGCATGGTTGTCTGGGGACCTCCCTGGAATTCAATTAGGCACCATTTGTCTTAGCCCTTCTCACTTGCTGAAATAAGGTTTGCCCCTCTTCAGAGCTCTGATCTCATTAGGGTCACTCTTTTAAATAACAAATGGAGCAGCCACATTATTGAGCCCCAGCAGGAAATCGAGCAAATGAAATGGCTGCAAATGGTTGGCTGGTGGATGAGGAGGAAGAAGGACCCTTTAGAGGCAGCTCCTTTCTCAACGGCAACCCAGGAAGGTTTGCTTCCTTGAAGGATTGTGGAAGGTAGGTTCATCCCAGATGCCAGAGAGTGTTAGGAATGGAGACCAAGAAAGGGGATTCTCTCCTCACTCTAGGCTCTGTCCTCCAAGAAGCATAAGAGGAGCCGGAGTTCTCGCTTATATCCCACCAGACCGTGGCTTTCTTGCTAGGTGTGGCAAATTTCTCCATCCTGAGTTCAGGAGCCAGAATAAGAAACTATGTGAGGGACAAGAGAGATAGCTTACTCAGTAAAGTGTAAATTTGGATCCCTAACATCCATGAGGAAGGCCAGACATGGTGATGTGTACCTGTAATCCTAATACTGGGAAGGCAGAGCCAGGAGAATCCTGTGCCTTGTGGGCCACCTAGTCATGCCAAATCACTGAACCCCAAATCCAGGGGAAGACCCTGTCTCCAAAACTAAGTTAGCAAGAAATCAAGGGAGACAACAGATGTTGACATGTGGGCTCTACACATGCCTATAAGTATGTGCATGTATACTTGTACACACAGCGCACATGCATGAACATGTACACACACATACCACACACTGTAGAGGGTGTGGTGGGGGGAGGAGCATCTGATGGTCTTGAATCTCAAAGACAGATACATACTTACGATTCATGTATTTAAAAATCCAAGAAGAGTTTAAAAAGATGATCCTCAAGAGGACCCTTACTTACATCATTTCAGGTCACAATAAAAATGGTATT